ACTCACCTAAAACATATTTGTGGTACAGTATGTGACCTTAGGCAAATGTTCCATTTTCCATATGAACAAACAGTTTTCCCAATACAACTTGATGAATGTATTTTTCCCAGATCTGCAGTGACATCTCTGTCTCCTTTATAGTCACATTCTCCAAAAACTTTGCCTATTCTTAGTCTCCCCAGTTCCTCCACTGTCCTCTCTATTCAGGATATTTACCTCTCATTTCAATGATCTTTATGTGGATAAATCAAACCTTTCAGGCCTTATTGTACTAGGGCCATCAACACAGTTTTGTTTGTCTGATTTTTTCCTTGTTTTGATATAACTGTCTATTCCCTCAACTGAAGACGTGTGTTTTGTTTTGTTGCATTTTCATCTGTCTTCAAGTCCACCAAACTGTGATTGAGTTTCCTAACCCACTGTTTTGTTTTTCCTTTTAATTTTTTTTCTCCTTGTGTCATTTCCCCAGGTTCACTTAGTACTGGAGGGCTCCTAGCTCAGTTACTGGTCTTCTTCCTTTTTTTTTTTTTTTTCTTTTTTCTGTACCTTTTCTCTGTTAAGCTCATTGGGGTTCTAAGCTATAACCATGTATCTATATAATATCTATGTACTAATGACTTCAGTTCAAAACAAACTTGGCATTCACCAAACTGAACGGATCTGTGCCTCTTTCTTCCCACCCCCAAACTTCCTGCAGCTGTGTCTTTCCTTAGTCCCCCTAGTAGGAGGTCCCCAATTTCAGTCGCTCAATCCAAGCCCTTAGAGTTGCCCCTGGTGCTTCTCTTTCCCTTGAAACCAATATCCAACTAGTAAAGGAATCCTGTTGTCTCTACCTTCAGAATACACCTAGGTTCCAACCATTTCTACGGTATGTTCCTGCTTCACCTAAATCCGCTAAGGCTTATTTCTAAAGCAGCAGTTGAAGAAACATCAGATCATGCCACTTTGGTGATTAAAACCCCATTGTAGCTCACCGTTTATTGGGAGTAAAATCTAAAATTCTTACAGTAAGCTATAAGGGGCCCTTTCCATGCTCCTCTCCCCATTACCAGACATAGATGTCTGCGTGTACCACTGTTTCCCTCACTGCTCCAGTCATCCTGGCTTCTTGTCACTCTTTGAATAAGCCGTGCACACTCTCACTTTGGGGCTGTCCTACCAGTTTTTTGTTTTTTGTTTTTTTTTTCTCCATATGGGATCTCTCCCACCCCAACACTATCTTCAGGGCTAAATTCTTTATCTCCTCAAGACTGCTCCAATGCTATCCTTCCAAAGAGATCTAGACTATCGATGACGTTGTAAAAAGCAACCAATATGACCACAGTTTCAGCAATTCTTTCTCTCCCTCAATCTACTCTACTTTTCTCTTTCTGCTCTACCATTTGACATTCACAGACTACAGAGTTAACTTACTTATTCTGTTTATTATTATTCACTGCCTCTGGGCTACATGGGCAGCTTCATGAGGACATGCACCTATTTTGCAAACAAATACATCCCAAGGGTCTTAATAGTTCAATAGATGGCTGATTCCTGATATAATGTAGGGATACAGTTCACACACACATTCTATCCCTGATATAATGTATGGATACGGTTCAGACACACCTTATCTCCCTGATATAATGTACTGGTACAGTTCACAGACACTTTCTATCCCTGATATGATGAACTGACACAGTTCAGACACACATTTTATCCGTCTGTAATGATGCTAAGCCTAAGAATCTAGGAGTATAGAAACTTTAAGCAAAACCCCCTAGAAATGGACTGCATAGACCACATGAGGTTTGTTGTGACTTCCCTGTGAATAAGATGGGTCACACGGTAAGATGATAGACAGTATCAAAACTTTGCAAAGTTTACAATTAGTGGTATGGGGTGGGGGGAAGAAAGTAAGACTTTTTTTTCCTTGCTCATCAAAAGGTTCATGGCTGGTAACTTCCAATAAAAGACAGATTAGTAACAGAAAAGTATAGGAAATTTACTTAATAGAAGTTTCATGAGGCATGCAAACCTTAAAAGTATGATTAGATCATTAAAAAATAAGATGTAATGGAAATAAACTGAGGAGGACTTAGCAAGGTTTGTGTGTTCAGATTCTAGTGGCCTCCCCATGTGACATTTTTTCCCCTCTGGGCATTGGTCAGGGCCCCTCTGGAATAAGGGGTTTGTTACCTTCTTTCAGAAGAGGTAGGTCTGAGAATTCTTTTGTGGACAGCTCTCAAGGGAGAAGGGCAGAAACAATCAGAAAGTTACCTTTCTACCTCTTCAGTTTTCTCAATTTTCTTCAGCGTATTTAGTATGTCAAGTTTGCATCTGATGAAAAAGCTGAACACTGTAAAATATTTAAAGAGGTTTATTCTGAGCCAATGTGAGTGATGATGGCCTGGGGAAAAGCCTCAGAAGATCCTGAGAAAGTGTGCCCAAGGTAACCTCCGTCTCCCTAAAACTTAGGGAAAGAACTTACATGCAGAGTCATAAATCGAAACATGTAAAATACACATTGTTTCAGCCTGAAAAAGCAGGACATGAAGTGGAAGGCTTATGAGTCACAGGTGGATGCAAAGATTTTTCTGATTGGCAATTGGTTGAAAGAGTTAAGCTAAAGACGTGAAGTCGGTAGAAAAAAACACTCGAGTTAAGGTAAGGGAGTAAAGGTAAGGGACACCATTTGGGGGTCCTCCAAATCAATTCCATTCTGCCACTATCCACAGTCAAATGCTCTAGCCCAAGCTAAACTCCCACGACCATCTGCCACGATCTATCTGGAGATAGCGTCAGATCCCACAGGGTGAGGGCTCAGTCCCATAATACTGCCTTCCATTTCCAGTGCCAATCACAAGCCCCAAGTTGTCCTGTGCTTTTGCCCAAGTGATTGTTAATTGAGGATCCCACGGCCCTTCCTTGGGTTCAGTTAGTTTGCTATAGAGGCTCACAGAACTCAAGGAAATGCTTTCCTATGTTTACCATTTATTATAAATGATATTACAGAGGATACATAGAAACAACCAGATGAAAAGACACCAGGGTGAGGTCTAGGAGAGCAGAAGAGCTTCTGTCTCTGTGGAGCTGGGGCATGCCGCCCTCCAGGCAGGTGGGTGGGTTCTTATCACCCTCCTGCTCAGCTTCATGAGTTTAGCTGTTCAGAAGCTTTCTGTCCTCTCCTTTTGGCCTCTATGTGGAGACTTTATTGAATAGTCATGATTGAAGCGTGGACAATTGCATAGAAATATGACTGGACACAGAGTATGACCTAGTGTTGATAGAATGAGTGGGGACACCCATGAAGGCCTGTCTGATCAGATTCTTCTTGGCCTCTCTGTGTAGCGTTCCCTCCTCCAGGGTACGAGAGCGGGCCTCTTTTGAAACAGAGGTCTTGTGACCTGCAATCAGACAAGGTAGTCAGATAATTTCTTTGTGACCAAAAGTGGGCAAAGACTGGATTATATTTTTAGTTTCTAAGGTTTTCTTTGGGGAGAAAAAGAAGCAGGTGAAAAGAGGGAAGGCAAAGATCACAGAGAGAGATTCGGTTTTCTGAGGCCTCAAGAACCACAACGTTGTAA